TTGACCTTGTGATCCGCCTGCCTCAGCCTCCCAAAGTGCTGTGATTATAGGCATGAACCACTGCTCCCGGCCAACAAAATCTTTTAAAAATGTAATTTGTTCCTAAATTTATGCTGCCAGGCATAAGATTTTGGGATACTGAGGGCCTGACTGCAAGGAGATCTAGATTGCTTTCTCAAGGAGAGATGAACAGTCCACACTTAACAAATGAGTAAGGCAATACAGGTACTATAAGAACTTTGATAAAAGAATTGGGTAATTAACACAGTGAGAACCAGGCCTCACCTGTGTAGGGTGGAGATGCTTTAGCTGGGGTGTCTAGGGAAAGATTCTGATGAATTGACATTTGGGCTAAGTCCTAAATGATCAGAAATGATTTGATATCATAAATTCTGTGTATATAGATGTTTGGAATCCATTTTACTGGAAATCTCATTGAGATTTGAGATGCAGAAAAATTGCTACAAAATCCAGAACTTAGTACCAATTGTGCTTTCAAAACCGTCTGTGTTGAGTATTCCTCATCAGTCGCTTGAGGATTGAGTTGGGGACAAACAAGGCATTAATGTTTCAGAATGTTAAAATGTTTCTTATCCAAGGCCAAATGCTCAGACCTGATAACATTTCCTCCTAGGTAATGTGCTAGCCTGATCGCATATTTCTCATTTAATACCTTTAGGAACTAGATCCAATAAAGGTTGCCCTTGGCCTTCTTGGAAAGACTTGAGTCTTAGAAAAGAACCGATTTACAAAAGTCAACATATGGCTGATAGCTTTTTTACTTGTTATCGTTTAGAAGATCAGTCTATTTCACCTTGGAAACTGAGGCTATTTAAAGATCTGAGTGTAGAGTTTGAAGGATTTTTTTATAATTCTCTTGAGATGGAAAGAAATAAGCTACTGGGATAATGAAGTGTGTGCACAGTTGATTGGTACAATGTGTTTACATTTCCCATTATGTATCTTAGAGAACTCTCCTGTTGTTGCTCAGATTTTTCTTTTTAAGTCAGTCTTGGGGTAGAAGATTAAAGCTCCCTGAAGAATATGGAAATGCAGTTGAACTCTTGGAAATCTGTATTCTACTGGCCTTGGTTTGTGATGAAGCTCACACACAATGTTTGTGTAAAAAAAAAAAAAAAAAAGTCCATCCAGGCACATTAAAAGAATATGGTGACTTCAGGGTTTAAGAATAGATCATTTTGCTGTAACATTTTATAAGAGTACTTGGCCATCTTTGCCTTAGGATAGTGAAGTGGTATTTCCCAGGACAGAATAACTGAAATCATCTGAGCTTCTAGGTTGTAGACTGCATAGTCCTTGGGAATTTTGACTTATAAACTAGGAAATTATTTCACCCTCATGAAACTTTCTTAAACTCTTAGGTCTTTCCCACTTCCACTTGTGTTGGAATTGAGCGTTCACCCAGGTATGGTGATGGTTAGGTGTAACAAGATGGGCCCAGAAGGCCACTTTGGGATTCATCTCTTATCCCTCATAGTGCATAAGAGAAGAAAGCTTATGGCTGTCTTAGAAAACTTCCCTTGTTCTGAAACCTACAGTAATTGGAACATGAGTGTAATAAATACAATGAATAGAATTCTGCCTATAAGCTCTTTCCAAAAGCCTGCTGATGCCCAGCCCATCTTGCTCTAAGGGGCTGTGGTCCAACAAGAGGGTATTGCCCATGGGTAGCTTCAAGTCTGCATGAGGAGCTAAAATATGAAGTAATCAGAAAATACTAGCAAATGAAGTAATCAGAAAATACTAGCAAAAGTCAGATCAGGATAGTTTGGATTAACATCCCGAGGACATGGGATGTGTGAATAGGTGTGCTGGGAATAGTTACTAGAAAAGTCAGAAGCAAGAAAGTGGCTAGGGTGGGCAGGAGAGGCCAGGAAGGTCAGGGACATTCTTGGAGCTGGAACTTGGGTAAGGTCTTCAAGGAAGACTCTGACTGCACTGGTCTGGGAGCTTGGCTAGGAAGACTTCTGAAAAACCCAGTCCCCAGACCCAAAGTAGGGGGTAGAAAGAAACAGTAATTCAAGGGTCAGTTGTGTTTGAAAAACATTTACATTTCTGATATCCAAAGTGCTATCTGTAGGATTAATAGCTATTAAAAGGGAACTGGAGTTCAGTGGACTCTGGCCAAATAAGTTTGGATAGAGCCTGAGTAAGCAACTGGGAGTTTCTGTATGGCACGACTCCTCAGGCCTTTGCATGCTGATGTACAGTGACTTCCCCAGATGGGCATATATAGCAATTTCCTGCTTATTTGATTATGGAATTGTGTGGGTTTTTTTTTCCCCCAGGAGGATCCTACATGAATATAGTTTAGTTCCAAATAATATAATTGCTGAGGAAATGCTAGCCTAAATGATTTCATTTCAGTATGTGTTTTAGTGTGAATCACTATCAATAGTCATGTTTTCAGTGGTCAGAGTGCCCAAGGGAGTTGAATGGAAGGAAGTCAGAGGGACTTCATTAAATAAGTCAGTGAATGAGGAGTCCTCCAAGGGATCCCCACCTGGCAACAAATATCCTAGGGCCATCTTGGTTCAGAAGTTATTACTCCGTATACTAACAGGCACATAACACATGCTTTAAAAAATACTTATTTTGTGAATATTATTCCTTTTTTTTTTAAGTGAAAACAAGTTTATTAGGAAAGTAAAGCAGTAAAGAATGGGTACTCCATAGACAGAGCAGCCCCTTTTCTTCATCTGAGATATGAGGAAGGATTTTGTGTCAATGGTATGGCTTCACCATCCCCCTGGGACAGGGTTGCAGCAGCTGGGGCTGTGAGGGAAGATGAGGCCGAAAGAGCCGGCAGGATTAGAGTTGCAGATAAGATACAGGACACTGTTAAATGTGAACTTCAGATCAAGTCTGTAATGTTTTAGTATAACTACGTTCCAAATATTACATGGGACATACTTATAAAGAATTATTTTTTCTGGAATTGAAACATAACTGGGCATCTTGTATTTTTATCTTCTGTCTGGTAGCCCCATGTAAGATGTTCAGGGAAGCCTAGACACACAGACCAGAAAGTGATGTAGAATGTACAAGGTAAGGCATTGAGGACTGATTCCAACTTTTAGAGAGCTCAAGTCCGACCTCTTGGAAATGGGTTAATACATCCTCAAACCCTCTTCCCACTCATCACTTTTATCCTATTCCCCTCAGTTTGGGAACATTTGTATATGAGAGGTTGTAGCCTGTCAGTTTTTTTTTTTTTTTTTGCTTGTTTTTAGTTTTTTTGAGACAGAGTCTCGCTCTGTTGCCCAGGCTGGAGTGCAGTGGCATGAGCCTGGTTCACTGCAGCCTCCCCAACCTGGGTTTAAGTGACTGTCATGCCTCAGCCTCCTGGGTAGCTGGGGCTACAGGCACACACCACCATTCCCGGCTAATTTTTGTAATTTTAGTAGAGATGGGCTTTCACCGTATTGGCCAGGCTGGTCTCGAACTCCTGGCCTCAAGTGATCTGCCCACCTTTGCCTCCCAATATGCCTATATTGAATCAAGTGCAAGATCCAAAATGTTACTAAAAAAGATTTTCAGCTTTTTAGATCCTCTTAAAAACGCAAAAAAAAAAAAAAAATCATTTCTTAGAAGCCAGTTGTGTGAACCGAGAAGTCTTGAAACCAAAAGAACTCCAAGTTCCCTGCCCGTGATGAACACTGTGGGGGAGGGCACATGCCCATCCAGGGCAAATCGCAGTGCGGAGAAGATGAGGGTTCTTAACAGTGCCAACTCTCACTTTTGGTATTTGTAATGGAGGACACTGAATTATATCACATGTGAAAATGAAACAGTGTTTTAAAAAGCCATATCTCTGTCCTGGCTCTGGATGAGATGAGCCTTTGGAGAAGGCAGAGGCGTGCTTGGTGGGTTGGGCTCTGGGCATTTCTTCCCCTGCCAAGAAGCGAAATGTCTTAGCGCCACGTGCAGTGATGATTACTAACTGGCCAGGGCTTACTGTAAGTGGGCTGTGCTCGAGGATCTCACCAGGAAGAAAAGGAATCAAACTAATGTCTTTCTCGAAAACTTCTCCCCATGACCTGCCCGTTGCCTGGACCACCTGTCCCAGGTGCGCTCCTCTTCCCCAAAACTCTTCCTGTCTCCCCTCTGCCCCAGAAGCCTACCTTTTCTCCAGCATGGGACGTTCTCCTGATGGCAGGGATCGATGAGGGGGGCTGGGTGAGCCTATGTGCTGTGAATGTGTTGGTGAGCCCTGGGGGAGGAGTCAAGAGAACCCAGGGAGTTGCAGGGCCACATGTGAGATACAGGGCACGGACCATGGAGAGCCGGTAGCCTTTGCTGACCATTGTACAGACAGTGACAGGGGATCCACATGACTCCAGCAGGCACGGTGACACAAGGACTCACTGGCTGCTATGGTGTTAACCACACCACTGGTGCTTGCTGTATCCTATGGCAACAGCAGCTCCTTGTTAATTCAGAGTGATGCTGGGGCAGGCAGTAGTACAGGCTCTCTCACCCCGGCTGGGGCAAACCCTGGCTCAAGAGCATCCTTGATTTATGGCCAAGCCCCAGGAACCTCATGGCTGGCTCTCCAGCATAGCCCACCCTAACCCAGCTTTGGAATCTGGTAATGGGAAAAGAGGGAAGCTCCAAAAAAAGTAATTCAGAGGTCAAGGTGAAACCTGAATGAGTCCATTAGATTCCACAATCAATATCCGGCTTCTAAACATTATACATATTGATGAGCTGATTGCTAGGAGACTAGTGCTGAGGGAGCTGAAATCTATTTTGCTGGGGCCAGATTGGTTGTTGATGGGCCATAGTAGACTATGGCAACTAAAAATACCCTGCCATCTAGTAAAACACAGCTTAAGCACGTTGGAGCCCCGTGAGCTTTCCTAAGAGCTGGGCAAAGCAAGGCTTTCACCGGGCTCTGCATATCTTGGCCCTGTAGGTCCTTCCTAAGGGACTGAGGGCTGGCCAGGGTCCTAGCTGGGGAACCTCTGGCGCTGAGAGGGTGGATGGCAGGTGGTGATATATGAAAATAGGATGTTTACTGAAGGGTAAATGGAGACCGGCCCGGGCTCTTTATAGTCTCTGAACACACGTGTTGACCTGAACTGCTTACTTAACTCTGTACTCAGGACTCAGAATTACAGACTGGGTGAGATGTGGCTCCCACAGTGGGAATAATTTCCTTAAAGGTCTTTAGTCCAAGAGGTTCCCTGGGAGGAAGGATGTGCCTGTGCGGGGCATGGGGTATGAGCACATGCAGGGCCTGGTGGCCAGGCTGCCTTCAGTGATGATGCACTTTCAGCCCTCCTCCCTTACCCACATGACCCGAGTATGGAGCATGGCTTGGTATCATGGTAGCGTATGCTAGAATCTAACATGGACTATCCTAACTCGCTAGACCCAAATGCAGCTGCTTTCCTGCTCCCCCAACACTACCTGACACATTGCTGGAGCTAGGGAGGGAAAGCCACTACCTGATTGCTAAGGCCTAGGGGAAGAGTCTCAGTCACGTGGCCTTTTGGGCAGCTCCTGGTCATTTGGATCACCATGCGGCGTGCTGGTGCTGAGCCCCCAGGCTGCACTGCTCACAGGGCATAGGCCGCTCTGCTTGGGGCAAGACACTGCCAAGGGGCAGAGAACAGGTTTCTAAAGGCAGGAAGTTGGAGGCAGTTGGGCTCATTAAACCCCTGTGGATCTTCAGCTGCAGAATTGCTCTGAGATACTCTGAAGACTTAAAGTTGTTCATTTACTAAAGCAAAAGCAAAACACAGTTAAACCAGGGCAAGACCTTTCTACCTGTGGTGCTGTGCATGGCTCTAATTCAAGGGCAGGCAGAGGGTGATGGGTTTCCAATGTCTCCCAAACATCTTTCCTCTGGTTTATGGGCCTGGCTGATGGGATTCCAGGGCCATCCTTTGATCTTACTCTGCTGGGTTAGGTTGGGGGAAGCTGCCTCTGCCTCGACAGGGTGATGCTCCCCTTACTCATCTGTGGGGGGCAGCAGGAGCCAAGGACTTGATCTGTTGCTGCTGGCCCGCCCTCTGTCAGGTGGCAGCTCTGGGCATCAGTGTGACGACAGCTTCTGAGGTGCCTGCTGTATATGCCCGCCTGCAGAGGCCTGGGGCCAGCACTGACGGAAACTTCTGTTTGATTCTCGGAACATCTTCAGAGATGGGTCACACCCTGCACTTGGCAGGGACAATGTTTTGTGGGCCTCCCCTGGCGCCCTTCTTTAAGGGGCTGTGTTGCCAGCTTGGGCCCAGAGAACACAGAGAGAAATGTACACAGTGTCTCCCCATAACCCCTGTAGGGACCATGCTGGGTGGGGCCCCAATTGCTCCAAAATAAGGTGGCGGAGGTCCAAGTGGTAAAGACGGAAGAAAGGCGGTCAGAGTGGACACGCTCCATGTTAAATTTCTGAGGAGCAAAGGTAAAATGCCAGGATTGCTGACACAATCAGGCCAGCGATGGGAAGAAAGCCTGAGAGAAGAGAAAAATGAAGCCTCAACTATCACAGAGCATCTAACTGAAAATACAAAGGTTTTAAGTGGACTGGCAGTTGGCAAAGGAAAAAATAAATCAGCCCCCTATTGAGTGACTTTCAGGAATGAGAGGCAGGCAGATTGGCTATTGAGGAAATATCCGAATGCACTGGATTTTGTCTGGGTTCAAAAGTCAAGAACATCTGCAAGGCCCACACCACACTTGCTGAGGAGCTGCTGGTGTAATTACGCTGCCGTGGACGAAACTAAGACGAGTTTGTGTCTGCCAGGGAGGTAACGATGGACGGAGCATGCTTCTGAGGGCGTCATCGCAGGCCCTGTTCGTCTTTCTGTGCAGTGGCACGGCAGCTGGTGAGCATGTGCTCAAGCCTGCTTCCCGTGTCACATGTGTCACTTTCCCAGCGCCAAACATCGTGGCCTCCATTCTGTGCACTGTTCTGTCCAGGGAGAAGGAGCATGAGCCCACATCTGCCGTGGCCACATCTCCAAGGCCAAGTGGGGCACAGCACCACTGCGCAGCTGTACCACCGGGGTGAGCCAACGCCCACCTCTGGGTCTCTGCTGTCTCCTTCTGAAGTGGGCGTCACAGCAGTCCCTACTTCATAGCCTCGCTGTGCCAATCCTCTAAGCTAATAATACTTGCTGAGTGCCGAGAACAGTGCCTGGTATCTATGTTAAACAAAACTCCCTGTCCAGAATGATCTCCCACGCCCCTCCCAGTTTTCACCTCCTAGGATTCTTTCCGGCTTTGTCCTTTTCAAATCTCTGAGGCAGGGAGGGCGATTATCAACCCATTTTTGAGATGGGGGAAGCAGAAGAAGACCTTTGAGGCGTTTTCCAGAGTTTAAGTGGCTGGTTAATGAATGGGTGGGGATGGAAGCCAAGACCTCAGGAGCTTGATCATACCACTGGCCGAGGGGAAGGAACTGCATCTAAGTCATGTGGCCCCTCACATGCCTCTGTTTACCCTTACCTCCTTCAGTTTCCCAGTCTCATCATTGCTCCTTCTCAGGCACAGGCTGAAGGGAAAGAAAAATAACTTCTAGGCACTGGGAAGAAGCAAATGCTGATGAGGCAGCCAGGCCCTGGGCCATGCGGAGGAGGACAGCATTGCAGGCCCCACAGTACACAGCCTGAAATGGACCAGGAGCAAGGGATCTAGGGTTTAGAGACTTGATGATCCAGTCTGCTCCCGAGCGCTAAGCAAGTGTGACCAGAAGCACCTGCTCCACCCTCTCTTGCCCGCTAGACAAAGGCTTAGCCCATGGGAACAGTGCATTATGTTACGATGCAGTTTCTTACTCAGTGGGTGACCATGTGCCTGTGGCTTCTGCATTTCAAACCAGCTCCTGGCCTTGCTACTTTGTGGACCACATCTGAGGGACAAGGGTTCCGAGGATGCGTTGGTATAGCCTGGCTGTCTTTTCCATCAAAAGCCACGACTCGTGAGCTAATCCTGTGTTCCTTCCCACCCTCAGGTTTCTCAGCGCTGGCCAGATAGGAACAAGACTGAAGAGGCTGCTGAGGCCCCACTAGGGCAATGTGAAGGATCTCTCTGGGAGAACATTGCCACGATTTCCCTGTATGAGAAGGAATATCCTCCAGGGTGGGCAAAACCACAGAGATGGGGGCAGGCAGCAGGCTGTATAATGGGCAGATTCATATCCCTCTCCTTCCGCTGAGCCCTGCCGTCCTCCGTTCAGGCAGCTTTCTACTTAGCACTCCGATTTCCGTGTCCAATCAATTGGCCACTCTTTGCACCACTTTAAAAATGAGTGACAGAGTCTTGACCTTGAAGCCAGCCAGTCGTGGAGACTTCTTTCACCATCTCCTTTTGAACTTAGACAAAGATTGGCAGAGAAAAGCACCAGTTTTGCTAAGATAGCGTCATTCGTAATGCAACTTCTTTGCATTAAATCCTGCACTTATTAGTGGTAGTAGTATCACTTACTTCCATTTGCAAATTATGTTATCTTACAAAGCACTCTCATGGTCATTATCTTATTTGATATTCAAAATCATTATGAGATGAATGAAGATTATTGTCCCCAGGAAACTAAGGCTCCAATTGGTTCACAAGTTTGCCGAGTATCACGAGGTGGTAGGCACCAGAGGGGGATGTGGATGTTCATTTTCTTATTAGAGCTGATATTAACAAGGCAGCAGACTTGCCAGCACTGTGCATCATAGTCTTCCCCATCCCAAGCATCGTGATTCCATTCCAAGGGAAATTCTTAAAGTGTGGCCAGCCTACAGCTGAGCCAGGACTGCTCCTGAAATGATAGTGGCCGTGTTGTTCCTAAGGGGCATAGCTGAGAATACGCTAAAATTTAGAAAATTGTTAAAATAAACAAAGCTAACAAAAATCAGAGAAAATAAAACCTTAGGGAAACTAGCAAGTGTGTTCCAAATTCTTCTTCCTTCTCCCCTACCCCCATTCTGTGCTTAGTTTTCCTGGTGAGGCTACCATTTCACAGCAAGGCATTTAGAAAAGCCATCCGGGCAGGAGTCAGTGAGTCAGTGCTTGCAGGACTTGTTCCTGGAACATCCCCTCCAGGTCAGCATACCTGTCTCCTTCCCCTCAGTAGGTATTCCAAGCCACTGCCCATGACAAGGTGGGGCAAACACGTGGTCAACAACTTAATTTTCCCCAAACCTTATTTAGGCTCTGGTTCCACATGCTGCTTGGGGTTGCCATGGAGACAGTCTACTGCCTTCTCCCTCAAATAGAACCGGAATCACACTTCTGCTTATATGCAAGGTAGAAGTGACAGAGTGGCATTTCTGTAAATGGCCCTTTCCAGTAAACTCAGCCCCGGCCAAGTGCCCAGGAATGTGTGACCAGGATACCTCAGGTCATGCCACAAGGTACTTAATGCAAAATGAGACATCTAATATCAGTGACGTGTAGCTCCCCTTGTAGTTAATGATTCTAAAAATGCCACTGCTAAATTGCTGTTAAGAAAAAACATCTCACATAACTGGAGCCTCGCCCTAAGTATCTCTGAGGGCCATCGTCACTGTGAACTGAGTCGCAACGGCTGTGTGCAGAGTTCCAGACTAGGAGTAACTGGGAAATGGAAGGAGGAGGTGGTGAGGAATCTAAAGAGTGCTAAGACAGGAAGCCCACCCTGAAAGCGTTTGCCACCCAGTGGGGAGACGTTCGTGTCCACAAACACGCTTTCTCTAGCCTAGTGCTACTGTGGGCATGTGAGCTGCATGATAGAAAGAATCACCTGGGAGCAGCTTAGATGGGTATAGGCTAAGGTTCAAACCTTAACTCCATTGGTTATTAGCTCAGGGTCTTTGGGTGAGTTTCTTAATATCTCTGAGCCTTGGCTACTTCACACTTCCTGACCAAGTTTGTTACAATCATTAAATGAAATGTTGCCTGCTGGATGGCCCAGCACGGTGTCTCACAGCAGGGGCTCAGTAAACGCTCTTTGTTTTTTCCCTTAACTCCTTCTTACCTATTGGAGGTAGGGCCTGTGGTGAACACGGAGGAAAGATGGTTCTGAGGCTGGGAGAGCCCCCAAGGTTGGGGGTTAGAGCTGCAGGCCTGGCCAGGGGCGGTGAGCAGTCCAGGATGTGCTGGACAGAGTCCCACGCTGGTTCTGCTGTGCAGCAAACCACACAGCGTGAAGGCCTGGCAAAAAGTGTGCAGTGGTGAGTTTGCTGAGTGTCGTGTGTGTGTGTAGAAGGAGATGGGAGACTGGGAAATGGGAAACAGGGCAAAAAGGGATGCCGATCACAAAGTGAAAAACCAGAACCACTACTCATGGGCTTTGTCAATGGAGAGGTGGAGATTGCATTGAGCAGCTGCCATGTGTGGGCCTTTGTTTCCAGCCTGAGCAAAGGCTTCAGTATTACTCTGCATTTACCCAGGAGATACTGACCACTGGCATTTTCAGCCTAAGGGGTTTACTTTACAAATTTTCAGGGGAAATGTTTATCAATCAACATTAGGAAGAGCTGGGTTTATTTTTAAGTTGTCTTTTTTTCCCACTGACACCTGCCTAGCCCCACTGTGGCACAACCTTCCCTACCATTCTTCTCAGAAAAAGGAACCACTGGGAATACAAACCAGGGCTAGAGAGCATGTACACTGCCCTGGAGGAGAGTGTTTTACCTGCTCAGAAATGCTGCATTATGCATGCAGAGCATGACAGAGTCTCTTGGGGGTCAAAAAATCCCAGATGTGACTTGAAGCAGCTGTGACTGTTTCCAGGAGGCCATGCCTCTGGGCTAAACAAGGTCCCTTTTCCCTGAATCGTGGAGACCATATGAGAAATTGCTTTGAAAGAGTATTCTTTGCTAGAATAGAGGGATGGGCTGATTATATGACTCCTCTGTCTCTGTCAGTCCATTTTCTATGACTTTAGGAGTCCTCCACGCCTGAAGATAACTGACTTGGTTATGTTACCTGGCTTCAAGGAAGGTGGAGGGATTGCTCCACAATGGTCACAGGTGAGAAAGGTGAACTGGGCCTGCGTTTAGTCTTATACTGCCACTTGGTAGCTTTGTTATTTTACCTTCTCCAGGTTTTCTATATTTTATCTGATAAGTACAGATAACATGATTTCTGTAGCTTCCTGGTAGGACTGTGATGAGAATGAATGGCGATAGTGTGTGTCCTGGTCTCTGGCAAGTCTCAGCACGTGCTGATACGTCAACTGCTGCTGCTTGTCATGGTGGTTGGTTGTGTTGCTGTTGTCCTTATCTAGAATGAAAAACTAGACAAAAGTTTTCAGTTTTCCAGGGAGTTGGGAGAATGTTTCCCAAACATTTTGGTAATGGAGTATCAGGGGCTTTCTCTTTCCCCAGTTCTTCTAGTGCAGCAGGTCATAGCTACACCCACTTCGTAGAACTGGGGAAAGAGAAGAACAATGCCAGGAATGATGGCAAGCATTTGTTTTTCAAAGTACTTTGACCATCTCTGGGGTTTCTACAAGACTCTGAAAGACAGACAGGGAAGGTGTTATCCCATGTCAGAGTAAAGATGAGGGGTGAATGTCTGGCCTGGAGCTAGATGGCTAATCAGTAATAGATAGAGGGTCCCATGATCTCCGTCTCTGCAGCTGCAGGGTCTGGGCACTGTTCTGGGGTTGAGCCCCAGGTGCAAGGAGGAGGAGAGAGGAAGAAAAACACACACAGCCATCACCCTGGGCCTGCTTAGCCTCCACTTGGTGGAGGAGGAGTGCCTTGACTTGGGAATGAGTGGGGTCTGCTGTGCACTGCAGGGCCTTGAATGGGGAAGGTGGAGGCTCACAGCTTGAGCCTTCATCAGAGAAGGCTTCTGACAGCTCGTGGCAGTCGAGATAATTCAGAAGGGTTAAGGAGCCTCCCTGGGGACATGAGAGACAGGCCCTGGAGGCGGCATGGAGTGGCATTAGGAATGCACCTTAGAAGCACATCTCACCAAAAATCTGCACTGGAGCAGCTGGGTGGAACTTGGGGGCTTCTAACATGGTAGATTACACAGAAAGAGCTTTCGAGAGAAGGGTCTGTCATTTGGAAATGACAAAATAGACTTAGTTCCAGGGTGTGGGGCCACACATATATGCAGTCAGCTGCCTAGCAGCCTCCTGGGGGCCACCATCCAACCCCTGCCAGAGCGCAGAATGAAGTCCTGATGGAGTTCAAGCCCATACCTTACGGGGCCACTCTGAGGATACAGTGGTTCCATAGTGACGTTGTCAAAGTATCTGGAGCTGGTGGGCAGGAGCCACTCAATGAGGGAGCTAAACACGTACCAGCATCAAGTGTGTCTTCTCTAAGCCCCAGACTTCGGAGAAGTAAGGTGGTGTCTTGAATGCTCTGTGGGAGAAGGTGCTGTCAGACAGCAGGAGATGCTCCTCAGAAGTGTTTTGTCTAGACGAGCTCTTTTCTTTTGAGACAGGGTCTCGTTTTGTCACCCGGGCTGGAGTGCAGTGATGCAATCACATTTAACTACAGCCCAAACTCCCTGGGCACAGATGATCCTCCCACCTCATCCTTCAGAGTAGCTGGGACCACAGGTGAGCACCATCACACCAGACTAATTTTTATATTTTTTTTGTAGAGATGAGGTTTTGCCATGTTGCCCAGGCTGGTCTTGAACTCCTAGGTTCAAGCAATCTGCCTGCCTTGGCCTCCCAGAGTGCTGGGATTACAGGCGTGAGCAACCATGCCCGGCCAGCAAGAGCTCTTGGTTCCTGGTACAGACTCCCTGTTCAGTGGAGCTCTGGGTTCTGGTATTCCTTGGAGTAAATGACTCTTAGTTCTGGTATCTGGAAAAGGAGCCTCATGTTCCTTTGAGAGCTGCTTGAAGTCTTGTGGCCTGGCCTGATCTCTCCAGCCCTAGTTTTTGGGGCTTCTGGCCGAAAGGCCTACTTCAGCATTAGTAAACCAGCTTTTCTGTCTGTCCATCCATCTACTCACTCACTCACTAGAACAAGTAATTAATTGAGTGCATTCCAGGGCTGTTGGAAATAAAACCTGCAGATGTTGTCCCTGCCGTCCTGGTGTCTAACGTGTCGTCAGGGAGAGGAGCCATTATATAAATAGACACATTACAGCACAACACAATGTGACCTCTTATCCACGGTGATTCTAGGACTTCCCTGATAAGGCAGCCCTCCCAAACTTGAGTGTCTGTTCCTCAAGTCTTAGAAAAACATGAGATTGGAACCCTCCTTTCTTTTTATCCTTGATGCAGAATTTAATGAGATTTTATCTGTGGCCTACAAACTTAATGGAGCCTAGGACTTTTCTTCCTGGATTGAAATCATTAACAATGTTAAGAGCTCTTAGCAGCTCTACCCATGTAGCAAAGTGTAATTCACATTCTAGTCCTCACATAACTTACGACTTAAATTACATGTAAGCATACAGTATCATGCTAGGTGCTGTGAGGGCATTAAGGAGTTTATAATTAAGAAGATAAAAAATTCATATGTGAATTCAAAGAATAACGATGCAAGCCAAGTGTAGGGTAAATGCTGGAGTGTCTAGAATAGCTAATAAGATGGGTGGATGGTAGGTCCAGTGACTGAATATGGGGACACCAGAGGCAGTGACAAGCTCTTTTTGGACATGCGGAGTTGGATGTTTCTCAACGATGTGTGGTCCAGAGGGCTGGTGGCTCCCTGGGTCTGGAGCTCAGGAGTGTTCTGTGCTGTAGATCTAGATTTAGGGATTGTGGCACATGGTGGTCCAGGAAGTGCTCGAGATTGATACCTGTTTCTTTGCTCTTTGGTTTGGGAACCAGTCCCTACCGCCATGTTTTCTCCTGCTTCCCTAGGCCGATCATCCCCCATCGCTTCCTAGGTTCTTCTTCCTCTGCCTGGCCCATGGATTTAGGGCTTCCTCAGCAGATTCTTTCTACA